GAGAAAGAATTCCATCTTCATCTTTACTAACCCCCACTGAACTCTAGCATTTTTTCCCCGCATGGTGCCGGCAACCTCACAGGCTTCTGTATCGCTCAGTTGTGGCAGGCGTCTTGAAGTACTGCATCCATGATTCTATTTTCAAACGACTGACACCATGAGGGCTGCTGTTAGGACATTATCCAAGAAGCCCAGATAGCACACTTTTCTAAACAAGTTTGAAACTGGTATGTCACTATAATTGGTTTCCTTTGCACTCCTGTGTGTTTTGTTGTTTACACTGAAAAACATTCCAAAAGAGTCCGTAGGTGAAGAGGCCAGCAGGGCCCAGGCAGGAGGCAGGTCAGGTGCCCCTGAAGTCCATCTCCTTTTGTTATTTTCATGTCCAGGCGAGCCTGCCTGCAGCGTGCAGGGCCCAGCCCACAAGCCTGTCAGACCCGGAAGGCAGAAGCTCCAGGTCCCAGCTGTCAGAGGGAACCAGATGACCACCTGCCGCCCAGGTTCCCTCTCCCTCACCCATTGTGTCTTCGGGGGCCTCTGGATCCCATAAGTATCCCGGGCAGGGGACCCACTCTGAGATGAAGGCAGCTCTTGTGATTCAGTCCAAAGCCCTAAGATAAGTTTTCCAGCTCTGCACCCCCATCCACAGCGACATCTTGGGAGGGAGGGGGCTGTCCACCCCCCACATCACACACGACGCCTTCATGATAAGACCTTTCATTGCTAAAGGGCACTGGCCACCTTGAGAATGAGAAAATCATCAACAAAGCTCAGCCCCCAAAGAGGGCACCAGGTAGCAGCTGGCTTGGATAGTGGCAGAGGCTCAGGGTGACTGAGCAGCCAGTGATGTTCCAGCTACTCACCCGCCAGGCTGAGCTACATCTGCACCCAAATCTCCCTCCCGTGGGCAGAACAATTCTGTTCGTCTTCCCAAACCCCAGAGACGCTGAGATCTGTGCTGGATCTGACTAGCTTAAGTAAGTTCAAAACAATGCTTGTACCTGTTGCCTGTTTCGTTGTTGTTTAATATGTTTTTATTTATTTCAGGAGAGGGAGAGAGATAAACATCAATGATGACAATCATTGATAGGCTGCCTCCTGCTTGCCCCTCTTCTGGGGATTGAGCCCACAACCTGGGCATATGCCCTTGACCAGAACTGAACCAGAGACCTTTAAGTCCACAGGCTGACACTCTAGCCACTTAGCCAAACTAGCTAGGGCCCTGTTGCCTGGTTTTTAATAGGTTTGTTTTTCTTTTTATTATTACTTTGTAGGAGTTCCCCATGAGATTCTAGATACTTTTTTTTTTTTTTTTTTTTTTTTGAGATGTCGTCTTCCAGTTAACACATTAAATCTTTGAATATTCTTCCTTGGCATGGACCACTCTTAAATGGAAACTGTAAATAGGTTTGTTACGCCAATGATTCTGGAAGAACCAAACTATCCCCACTCATCTCAAGACCCTCTGGGCCATGGTCTGCACCTGAATTCAAGCACCAGCCAAAGCCTTAGAAATGCAGAGAGACCTAGATCCAAGTTTGAGGGCCAGGCTGAAGTGAGAGAGGGAGTGATCTGCATGAGAATATCGGAGGTTTCTGTGGTGGGGGTGGTCTGGGGGGGGGGGGGGATGTGAAGATGGAGAGGAGAGAGGGAGGAAGCCCTGGGCCACTCGGCCAATTTGGAGTGGGTAAAAGAGACAGGTTTTCTAAAAATCAAAATAGAATTCATTGATGTGACAGAAATATGATTCCCTGGTGTCTCCAGGCTTTTGAAATCCTGAAGGGCTGAGCTACTAGTCTGTGTAGCAGAAATGTGGGTGAGGGCTGTGAGACGCTCCCCCAAAACACTGGCTTAGCCAGTGCCAAGGTGAGAGCTGGAGGGCACAGAGCATGCCTGTGGCTGGAACTCATCCCAGCCTGTGCAGTGCCTAAAGCAGCACCTCCTGGGTGCTTTAAGGCCATCTGTGGTCATTACATCCTTGTACAGCCTATGGGTAGTGTTAGGTGGCCGAAGGTTACGTAGTTTATCCACAGTCACACAGCTGATAAGGGACAGAGCCCGGATTTATACCACTCCTCGTTTCCTGTGGCAGGGCTCTTGGTTCCCTCTGAAGAGAAGAACCAGAATCATTTATTATTATAGAACCCAAAAGTGATCTCATCTGTGCTTTATATAAAGATGAGATGCAATGAAGTGTAATACGTCCAAACTTAAGACCTGCTCTCATCAGCAGGTGCCTGGCAACCAAGCAGGCTTTGGAACCTGGAAGATGTCCCCTCTGCAGGGAGAGGACAACCCCGCCGCTCCCTACCGCAGAGGCCCCAGATCGGAACAAGAAAGGACAGGTGGGACCTGCAACCAGTGTCGTAGTTTGGCCTTTATTTTAGGATTTTATCCCCAGCTCTAGCGTCCATGGAACACGGGGTCATATGTGGGCAGATGGACATGCCGTGTGGGGCAGTGGGGGAGGAGAGCTGGGGGAGGAGGAGGATTCAGAGCCGAAGGAGTGGAGGCCAGAGATGAGGCCAGACAGGAACTTCTCAGCAGCAGAACTTGAGGGTGAGAGTGAGGGAGCCATTGCTCTGATCTGCCCCCTAGTCTTGAGTTATCCAAGAGGGCAGCCAGGCACCAACTGTGGGTATTGAGCGTAGCTTGTCTGAATTGAGATGAGCTGTAAGTGTAAAATACACCCCAAATTTTGAAGCTTCGATATGAAATGAAATAATGTAAAATATCTGATGAATATTTTTATATTGGCTATATGTTAAGATGACAAATTTGGCATACGGTATATCAGGGTAAAGAAAATATATTAAAATGAATTTCACCATTTTTTTTTTCTTTTCATTTAAAAAAAACCCCAGGGTATTTAAAATACAAAATTACAACTAAAATTATGCTTTCTATTTCTATTGCATAGCACTATTTTGGACCAATTCCTCCTGCCTGGGTGAGTGAATGGGGGACAGGATGACAGGGTGGGGCCCCTAAAGAGAAAGGCATTGGTTGCCAGCTACAGTTGACCCCTGAACAAAGGGGTGGAGGATTAGGGATGCCAACCTCCCTTGCAGTTGAAAATCTGCATAACGTTTGGCTCCCCAAAAACGTAATCACTGTTGGTCAGAAGTTTTATGATAGCAGTCGATTTACTCATAGTTTGTATGTTGCATGCATTTTCACAATAAAGTAAGCTAGAGAAAGAAAATCATAAGAGAAAATACATTGACTTCATTTATTGGAGAAAATCCCCATATTAGGGGACTGACCAGTTCACACTTGTGTTGTGCAAGGGTCAACTATATTGCTCTTCCCGGCGGGAGATCTGTGCTAGTCTCATGCAGGAAGGATGGGGACTGGGAGCACTCCAGGGAGTGGAACCCAGAGTTGGCTGACGTGGCATTGGGGGGAAGGGCTCTCAAGGTTGGGAAGCAAATGGAATAGAATTATGTTCTTTTTAAAAATTTTTCTTTATTGATTAAGGTATCACATATGTGTCCTCAGCCCCCCTAGGATTATGTTCTATGGCCGTGCCCGGGGACCTCTTGGGTAATGGGACGGTCTGGCTTCCCTCCCCTCCACCTGCCAGGCTGAAAGAGAAAGGTGAGAAGACCCTGCTAGGGCCTGAGACATCCTGGGGAAAGCTGCCTGGATCACTGTAAGGATTTTCCAAACAGAACCCTAAAAAAGACCTCGACATCCTGGAGGAAAGAAAGAAGTAACTGAGGGCCTTCTGGAAACATCTAGGGGGAGAGTTAGAACGTAAGAGGAGGAAAGTAAGGTGATGCTGATAGCACAGGGAGGGATTTCTCCCGCTCCTGTGTGGGCCCTGCTCTGGGCCTGGTTCGCTGTTTGGCACCCTCACTTCCTGCTGGTCATTATGTTAATGACACCTCTCCGATGAGGCTTTTCCTGGCCATTTAACACATCAAATCAAATTGTTAAGTAGGGATGTTACGACATTTTTTTTGATACCTTTAATTCAAACGTAATATTTTTCCTAATTCCTTAAAAAAAAAATAGCCTTCCTCTCCCTCCTCATTAGACGCTTACAGAGGCCCACCATCCCTGCGGGACCTCTGCGTGCCCTACAGTCACCCCAAAGCCCCGCCCGGGTCTCTGGCGCCCCCCGCCGGTAGGGTCACAGGCATTCCAGCCTGAGCAGCCCCAGGGGCGGTCAGATCGGAGTCGGGCTGGGCTGGGGCAGATCTGTGTTTACAAGACATTTCTCCAGGCGTGGCTGATGTCACTGCCACCCGCTTCAGCCTTCCTGCATCAGCCTTCCTCGGGGAGAATGACGACTGCGCTTGTTTTGCCCTTTTGGTAAAAATGCGGATTTATTTTCGAGTGTCTTTCTCTTCCTGCTGAGCGTGTCACCGAAAAGCCGGGGCCCCTAGAGCCGCACAGGTCTCTGACCTCCGGGGCAGCCACGAGTTCCCTCTTGCTCCTGGTTCTCTTTTCTGTTTGTTTGTGTGTTTGTTTCCAGTACGTTTAGTTATGTTTTGCAAACATTTATTTTCAATGCGTGATTACAAAGCAGCTCCTCCGACCCGTCCCGCGCTCCCCGCGGGCGCCTCCGCCCTCAAACCTCAGAACCGATGGGTTGGGTGGCCCCCTGAGCCGTGGGGGCTTGTGGGTGATGCCCGGGGGCGCTGGGCTCCCGACCCCCAGCCTGTCCTGGGCCGCGAGCGCCTCCAGTTGGGGAAAGAGAAGGAACCGTCCGAACGGTCGTGAACCTTTCCCGTTGCCGCTCCTCCCCGGACCTCAGGGTCCCCGGCCTCCCGGCCTCTCCCCCCGCCCCGGAGCGGGCGTGGGCAGCGGGTCAGAGCGGGTCGGACGTCCGAAGCCTCGGGGAGCCGGGAGCGGCCGCGGTCCCGGGACGCGCGGACACCTGCGGCTCCGGCGAGGCGGGCGGGCGGTCCCCGAGCCCCGGCGCCTCCTTAAAGCCTCGGCTCCGCCCCGCCCTCCCGGCCCGCCCGGCAGTTCCACCCCAACCGCCGCCCCGCGCCGGGCACAGGCCGCCGAGCCGCGAGCCTGCGAGACGCGCGCGCCGGTCCGAGTCCCCGCGCCCCGCACACGCCGCGATGGCCAGCGAGGAGCTGGCGCGCAAGCTGCAGCGGAGACTGCGGGCCGCGGGAGCGCAGGGGGGCTGCCCGGAGCCCGCACCCCTCGCCGCCGCCGCCGCAGCCCCGGAGCCCGAGCCCGAGCCGCCCGCCGGGGCGCCCGCCGCCAGCGCCGACGCCGACGCCGAGCTGAGCGCGCAGCTGAGCCGCCGGCTGGACATCACCGAGGGCGCGGCGCGGCCCCGCCGCTGCAAGGTCTTCAACCCCTACACCGAGTTCCCCGAGTTCAGCCGCCGCCTCATCAAGGACCTGGAGCGCCAGTTCAAACAGTGAGCGCCCCCCGCGCCGCGCGCCCCGAGGGCCCCGCGCCCGGCACCGGGGAGGGGGCGCGGGGAGGCGGCGGAGGGTCCGTCTTTCGGGCCGGGAGTCCCGGGCTCGGCTCGGACGGGGAGGGTGGGTCGTGCGGGAATCCCTGGGGGTGCCCTTCGCCTTTTACTCAACGTCCCGGACCCCGCGCTCCCCAAGTCTATGCCGGCGCGGTGGGCAACCCGACCCCGGGGGCTGTGGGCACGGAAAGCAGGACCGCAGACCCAGCTCGGAATTGTCCCTTCCCCTGGGGCCGCGGAGCCCGGCTCCCGGGTCCTGGGGCCCCGGGCGGCCGCCGCGGGTCCCGCCCCCTCCGCAGCCCAGTCCTGCGTTTGCACCCGAGCACAACTTCTAGGAAACGGAGCTGCGCCGCACCTCACCTGCCAGCCTTTACCTCCCATGGGAGACATTAGCCCTGTTGTCCTTTATCTTTTAAAATAAAAGAGGAAAAGTTATCCTTGGCTGCCGCTCGGGGTCTGATGTACCAATAAGAGGTACATCAGAGGCTGAGAACGGGGAGTTGGTTAAACACTCCGCAAAACATCAGGGCGTTCCTGGAGCGAGCGGGTCCCCGAGCCTCCTGGGGGCGTCGCCCTGTCTGCAGGCGCAGCTGGTAGTCGTCCCCGTGGGGGCTCGCTCTTGTCCTGCTGTGTAAGCCCCGCCCGGCGGGGAGGGCAGAGCAGAGGGTCCCCACTACACAGGCTTGGAGCTTGGGAGCTACTGGGGCCTCAATGTTCTCATCTGAAGAATGGGAGCAATGATCGTTCCTGCCCTTCAAGGCCATAAATTATGTTGGCACACCGTAAGCTCCTAACCCAGCTATTAATATGACTTTCAGAATAGGGCCAGGACCAAAAAAAAAAAAAAAAAAAAAAAATGTCTGGGGGAGCGGAGGCCTCCAGCCAGGTCATGCTTGGGGCGTTTTTAAAGCGCTTGGAATGTTTGTCCTCCCCGTGGAGGTTCTATTTAAGGGCTCTGTGTGGCCGGCACTGGGTGGCTCAAGCCTGAGGCTGGGCTGCCGTCCAGCGCCAGCCCCCGTGGGGAGGTCAGCAGAGGCAGGCACCCGGAGGCCACCCAGCCTCCTCTGCTTGCCTGACACCCCAATTTCCGAACCCCTGGCTTCCAGGCACTGGTGTTGTCTGGTGTTGACACCTGATGGGGCAACGAAGGAAAGCTGAGTTGGGGCAAAAGAAATGCCTGCAACTGGGGCAGAGGTGGGAGGACAATCAGGGAGTGGTTCGTCAGAGTCCCTTGGATTTGTTTTGGATTATGCCCTTCACGGGAAGACCAGTAGTTCCCCCAGTCCAGTTGGATTCAGGGAGGGCATCTTGGGGACCTTCTTCAAGTTGCTTTGCAGTGATTTGGGTTTCATGTACTTATTTTTATTACTATAATTTTTTTCCCCTGCAGAAAAGTCTTTGAGAGGGTAAGTTTGTTAGTTGGCTGCCTACGAGTAGCAGAGGGAATAAGGCAGTGGGGTCAGGGAAGGCTGGATCCAGGTGCCCAGATGATGCCGACAGTGATTAGATTCTCTTTTTCTTAAGCCAACTATCTCTCTTTTGTCCATGCCCAGACCCTCGTTCCCCTATCCACCTTCAGGCCACCCAGACCCTACAAAAACAAGGATTCCTTGGCCCACCCCCTGAGCTTCCACACACTTAAGCATCTTCCACCTGAGCTAATGATCATCCTGCAGGTGCTTCTCCCAGTTCCCCACATCTGGGAGCAGCTGGAACTTTGCTCTCCCTGCCTCACCAAGGTCAGGGCTCCTCTGGTTGGGAGATTTTATCACTTAAGTGTTCATCCACCCTCGGTGCCTAGAACATGGCAGAGACTGTAGTTGACAGACACACCCCTCATCTTATGAAAGGGCCCTGACTACACCCGCCCAGGCAGGCGACAAATCCCCAAATGCAGTGGTGCTGGTCCCTCTGCCTTGGTAGTCACATGGTGCTCTCCCTGCATGTGTCTTCATGTGGCCTTCTTATAAGGACACTAGTCATTGGATTTATGGCCCACCTTAGTCCAGTGTGATTTCCTCTTAATTTATTACATCTGCAAACTCTATTTCCAAATAAAATCACATGCTGAGGTTCTGGATGACCATGAATGGTGTTTTTTTTTGGGGGGGCGGGGGGGCGGCTATCCAACCCATTATTGTGAGTGAGCAGAGAAACCCAAACCATGGGGCACCACGAGCGTTTCCTCCCCACCTTCTGGGTGGTATGGGGAAAGTCCGCTCAAGGATGCCCTCAGATTTAGGCACGTCAGGCTCCTAACCAATTTAGGTTATCTGAGGGAGTTAGGGAGGTCAGAGACCTAACCAAAGCCAGCATGATCCCACCCCCAACAGAAGAGGACCAGTCTCCCCGTAGCCCAGTCCTAATCCAAACGGAGTTGCCATCTAACTGTAAGAACAAAGCCAAACCAATGGAAACCCCCCAGTGGTGCCAGGTGTGCAATTACTTTCAGTAGGAATTTTCTTTTAATAAGAGTTTCTAGATTCAGATTTTGATGTCACTTGGAGTTTGCTCAGAACCTGACTTGGCTGGTACAGAGCACACTCATTCTTTCGTCGGGGGCTAGAGAGATTCACATAGATAACTCTCTGAAGATATCTATTCATGTAGATATATCTGCAAAACATGCTTTGAACTTTTAAAGGCGATTTCTTGTATTTAAAAGTATCTTGCCTGGGGATTTCTTACATTTTTCAAGATTAAAACACACATACACACACACACACACACACTCACTCACACCCCAAACAACTGGATCTCCTTCAGGGCCTGTGAGCGTGTTGGATTCTTGGCATGGGGTCATTTGTCTTTGTATCCTGGCTCCTCAATGGTGAGTTGTAGAATAAAGAGAATTTTCTAATGAGTGTGGGAAGCCAGAGGCGTCACCGACCGGGCCAGAGAAAGTTCCCTCTCCGTTTCCAAGTGTGTTACTAGATAGCCTGAGCCTACAGAATAGTGGCCTGATTTTAAACGAAGAGTGAGAAGGCCCAGAAGAAACTGACTCTACAGTGTGTGTCCAGGGCTGTAACAGGAGCTGGCGGAGTGGTCAAGGTTAGACAGGAAATTTCAATTACCCTGGACCCAAGCCAGGGGCCTCTTTCAAAGGGGGAGGTAACGAGGGCAGCCACTTAAGGGCAGGACCCAAAAGCAACATCTGAAAATGCAGCTGCGGTGTGTTTGCAGCGTTTTAAAAGCTTGTGTTTCAATTCCCCAAAGAGAGGGTGGGAAGAGGAGCATTTGGCTGTGGGAAGGCTGTCTTTTTATTAAGAATCCGAAATGATGATGTCACGAACACCCTGCCAACACCCAATTCCCCGGGTCACCATTGAGCCCCGAAAAGAAGAGGTTGTCTTGGAACTTTTCCCCCCACCCCCCAGCTTTCCTTTTCTCCTTCCCCTCTGAGGGTGGGGGAAAGGGGGCGTGGGACTGGAGGCATTTTACCAAAGAGGTGAAAGGAGCCTTCTTAAGGAGGTTTGTACTGGGGGGTAGAGGTGAGGGGCCTCACCCAAACTCATCCACGTCTTTTGAGTGAGTTGACTTTAGAGATTGGGAAGGACATGCAAGTAAATGGGAGCTGAGCGCTCTCGCCCCCTGAGGGGAGGGGAACGTCTGGCCTGCCTGCCGCTGCAGGCACAGGAATGCCCTTGGGTTTGAACGGTCTCACCTGCACTGGATTTGCACATTGGACTGTGCTGCGTGGCGGTGGGGTGAGGGAACCCAGGCTTGTTTGAATTCCTGGGGGGTGTTCAGCCAGAACCCAGGCTGGCTTCTGTTGCGAGGCCTTGGTTTCTGGCAGAAAGTCAGCGTGACGTGGAGCTGCTCCTTCGCCCGTGAGCGCTGCTTGTTTTCATTTGCCAGCAGCGCGGCGAGGCGGTGAGCGCGGTGCAGGGGCTCCTGCGGTGCACAGCGCCTGGTAGTTCTCTCTTTGCTGGAGTTTTCTCCCTCCTCTCTCTCAGAAGTGCCCTCCACCCTCCTATTACAGAAGCCATCTCATCTTATAAGACTTTGAAATTGAGTGAGTTATGAAAGACTTACATTATGTAAAAAATATATATATTAGTTAACAAGTGCCTAATTCAAGGTTGTACCGTCCAGGGGACTCAGACTCTCAGCCCTGAGGTCCCCCCCCATCTCAGTCTAACTAGGAAGTAGAAATACCTTCTCTATTGAGTTTGGGGGTGTCTGGTTTACCCGGGGCTGCATCGTGCTTGCTTTTGCAGTGTGGCTGAGCCAGTGGGTCTCAGGAGCTGGGGACTGCCAGGCTGGTCTGCCTCGGGGAACACGTGCTGAGGTCAGGAGCCCAGCATACCCTCAGGTTTTGTGAATGTTTGCGTTTAGCTTGTTGTTTCATGGAATGTGCATCTCAGGCAGCCTTGCACACAGACACATGTCTATATACCTGTGACACCCGTGCTCTCTCTCGCATACCTCTGACGCACTCACAGAGCTTGGCCTCCATGGCATTCTGCAGTCCTCCTGGAAAAAGCCTCTGTTAGCCTCCTGCTTCTGTTTCCCTTGAGTGTTGATGATCAAAGACCCCCTGGTCCTAAATCCTAGATGCTCCTGGCGGGGCGGGGCGGGGGGGGAAGGGGGGCTATGTGCAGGGACGTCTGAGTGGTTAAAGCCTGACCCGGAATCTAACTAGCAACCTTCGGTGCCCAGTAGGACAGGATGATGCCCATCCAACTGAGCCACACCAGCCAGCGCTCAACAAACTTAACAGCGACTCAGGTTTAACAGGATGCTGCTTGACAGGGGTGGACGGAAGTCCTGGAAAAGCCACCCGCCACCCGTGTACAAGGCACCCCAGCCGACCCTGTGAGGATGTTGCATTCTGCTGCTTTCGTAGCAGGAGGTCCTGGCATTTCTGGACACAGTCAGAGAAGAGCAGCCAGCCAGTATTGGGAAGGAATTCAGACGGAGGCTTCTGGAGCCAGAGGATG